CCATGTTTGCTTTTTGCGGACGACTTGAAATCCTGGAGTTCCAATGCCAGTGCCCTCCAAATGGATGTAGACGCTGCCAAGCAGTGGTCGTTGGACTGGCACCTTCCTCTGAATGATGAAAAGTGCGTCCATGTGTCGTTTTGAGGGGATTCAGCGAATGCCTTTGTCATGCATGGTGAAAAGGGACTAGAAAGCATCATGAAGATAGATGCCAAAAAAGGCTTGGGCATCTGGGTATCCTAAAACTTGTTCTTCTCACTACACCATGAGAAATCGGCTCAAAAGGCATTCGCCATTTTACGGATGATCCGACGCACTTTCTCCCGTATTACTCGCATGGACTTCCAGATACTCTATGGTGCCTATGTCGGACCGCTCCTGGAGTACGCCAACTAAGTTGTCTACTCAGGGCGTACGAAAGACGTCACCCTCATTGAGCGTGTCCAGCGGGCCGCCACGAGAATGGTTGCCGGCCTCGAATCCGTGGGCTATAAAGCGCGTCTCGCGATGCTTGATCTCTTTCCCCTGGAGTACCCTCGCCTCCGAGGGCACCTAATTCTTACTTACGCCCTGTATGAACAAAGCTTGGCAAACAGGTATTTTACCGTTGACCCAGCAAACACCCGGCGGGGACATAGTAAGAAAATTTTCAGTTTCAGGGCACACACATTCATTAGACAACATTTTTTCATTTTGAGTTGTAGCTGCGTGGAATGACTTTCCTCCGACGGTTGTCCACGCTCCCTCTAGAACCGCACTATTAGACATCCAGTTATGCGAATCCTCGCGCTGGCAAGCATACCGCCCTGCGCTGAGAACATAAAGAGCAATGGTATACCCTTTCTTCGTGCTTACTAATGGAATTAATTTCAATTTCAAGGATGCTAGAAGTCTAGAATATCTGGCCAGGCTCGGAGCAGCCTTCAAATCCAGCAACCTCAATGAAGAAACCTAGCAGGCGATACGACAGACCATTGTCCCAGCTATCACGCGAAACGAAACACACAACGCTTTATCTACGAAAGAAAAGGAACAATAAACAGCCTCAAAGCGAATGAAACCATCGTCATTTTGCCAGCTGACAGAGGGAGAATGACAGTCATTCTGGAGAAAGCTGAATACATCGACAAAGCTAACGCTTCACTCAATGACACAACCACATACCACCGTCTGCAGAACGACCAAACCGCGAAACTTACGAACAGGATAAACAAAACCCTGAAGAAACTCAGGGATCTTCACAAAATTACAGAGGAAGAATACTGGAGAATGAAGGCTCGTGACTCAGAAGATGCCCGATTCTACGGACTTCCAAAGGTTTACAATGAAATGGTACCCTTACGCCCAACTGTCTCACTACCAGGAACACCCACGTACAACATTTCAAGAGAATTATGGAAGCGGCTGAAATACCTAACCAGTGGGTTCCAATATTCGGTCAACAATGCGAGACAGTTTCTGGAGAAACCTAAAAACGTGAGAATCGAAGAAGACGGAATAATGGTGTCCTTTGATGTAACCTCACTGTTCACATCGGTTGATTTGAATGCAGCATGGACGACGGTCACCGAACTCCTGGACAACCGCGGAAACATCAACGGAATGTTTGGAAAAGAAGAAACATGTGAACTACTAGACCTGTACTTGACAACTTACTTTGAGTTCAATGGAGAATATTACGAACAGACCACAGGAGCGCCAATTGGGTCACCGATCTCTGGACTCACCGCGGAAATTACAATGCAGAAACTGGAACGAATCATACTACCAGATATCAAACCGAAAATATGGGTACGATATGGGGACGACACATTCGCTGTTGTAAAGAAAATGAACTGCTACGGGCGGAGGAACTGCTGAACAACGTGTTTCCCGACATCCAATTCACAATAGAAACTGAGAGGAACAACAATTTGGCGCTCCTAGATGTGCTCGTAACAAGGACAACAAACGGCCAACTACAAACTGAAGTATACAGGAGAGCAACACATACGGACCAGATTCTGAATCACCACAGCAACCATCCGAACTGACGCAAGCGGAGCTGTGTTCGAACTCTATTCAAGCGGATAGAGACACATTGCAACACAACA